GCGAACATCTTAAAATCTTTCTCCAGCTGACTTGTTGGGGCTTTGGATCGATGTACAAACCTTGGCCAAGTCCTGCAGCACCTAGTGTAAATGATATTTGTATTGGATCGGAAACAATCGAGCCGCTTTACCCCGAACGCGGAAGCTGAGGTGCAAAGAGTCCATTATGTCAAATGTACACCTTAGGAAATATTTGCAGTTGCCAAAATAAAAAAAATAATTTTTAAAATGTTTTTTTTTAACCTTAATCAGACTAGTCAAACAAATAGCCTGACTAGTTAACCCACTAACATCTCAGAACAGAATGGTAAAAAAAAGAATAATATTCTGCTAAATAAGCATTTTAAGCAAAACTACTATTAAATTTAACTTGTCTATTTTATTGTTCATAGTCATGAATCAGAATATTAATAATAGACATATTTCAATTGTAAAAAAAAAAACCTGCTTTATTTTAGAAACAGTGTAAATAATATTTTACCTACTTTAAATGTGGCTAACCTGTATCTACTGATGAAAAGAAGCAATACTTAGAACAAAAGCCTCATTCCTTCATCTTCCATACGTCTAAAAGCAGCTCTGTGAGCTGATTGGACAGCAGACGTCACATGTGGTTATTCCTTTATTTCTAGGTGTTCCACAACAGAGTTTATTTAGCCATAAAACCATTAGCCGCAACAGTAAGGAGCGTTGTGGTCAGCCGGTCAGTATGATTCGTTCATTGATGAGGAAAAAATATCAGATTTTTCAGTTTGATATCAGCTTCCATTTCCCATTTCTATTCATTTTCTCCTGTAGTTGGTATCTGTTAATGTAAAGCAATAAAAAAAAAGGCAAACTCTTAAAAGACGTATAAACCTGAAACTGGACAAATGTTATGAAACCAAGTGAACTTTTGGCGTCTCCTGACAGATCAAATGTTCAGCTCTGTTTAATGTTTTAATCAGACTTTTATCTCTTTCCTGCGTTTCGTTGACACTTTTCCTGGAACATCAACTGCAGCACGGCTGAGTGACCCAGCCAGTCGTTCCTCAGCCGTGCTGTGAGACAATAAAACCTCTCGTTGTTCCAACCGGCGTATCAGAATAGTACACCCAACGTCAGCTCGAATAGTTTCACGACTTGAGTAAACATCTTTATCACGTCTGTAAATGTTGTCTTGTTATGCGTTTCTGGCCAATCAGCGGACCCCTCCAAGAAGTCGGAGGCCAATCCCTTGACGGAGATTCTGAAAAACCCGACCAAAGTGGTTCTGCTCAGGGTACGTTTGTGTTTTTCCTAGTTTTTTTTTGTTTCCCAGAAGATGTACTTTATAAAAAACAAACAAAAGAAAAAAGCAGAAACCTAAAATGTGTTGCGATTTCACAGAACATGGTGGGTCGAGGAGAAGTGGACGAAGACTTGGAGGGGGAGACGAAAGAAGAGTGCGAGAAATACGGCAAAGTGGTGAAATGTGTCATTTTTGAGGTGTGGAGAATAAATCTCAACAGAGTTCATCCAAAGTGATTAAAAATAAATAAATAAAAGACAATAAACAAGGTTGCTCTCCTTCACAGATCGCCGACGTTCCCGATGATGAAGCCGTCAGGATATTCCTAGAATTTGAGCGGGTGGAGTCGGCCATCAAAGGTCAGGGTTTACCCGCCGTTTTCTCCTCGTTTGTTTAACCCAAGGCAAACTTTTTATTTTTATTTTAGTTTTTTACGTAATGGCCTCGCTTTCTTTTCACCGTTGTGTAACCGCTCCGATAACGTGGGCCGAAAGTGTGTCCCACTCTTAATTGGGTCGTCCCAGATCGGAATCAAGGTGAGACTCGACTCCCTGCGGTGTTATGTCATGACTCCCTACGGCACCGGCAGAACCGCGCTTACATCACAGCTCCGAGAAAGCGGGACGCGCTCTCAAAGAACGGGTTACACCGAGAAGATGGGTTGAGATGGGCAGAGAAAAAGACATTTCTCTCATTAGCGCTAATCTCGAGCGTTTGTTTTGGTTGCATTTACGTGGAATACCTTGCGCTGAAGTCCACTTCCTGCTTTTGTAGCGGTCTCCTGTCTGATTGGCGTTCACATTGGAACCACACCAGAGTTCACTAGTCTAAGTTCACTAAAATCAAATATGAAAAAAAATCTGTAAATAGGAAACTATTGACTAATTTCAAATCTATCAAATTCTTTAATGACTTCAGCCCCCTTTTGGTTTTTTAGTAAATTTATTCAGCTTTTGTCTTAAAGTTAACATGTTTAGCTGATTTATTCAGCTTTTCTTTTTTTTTAAAGTAAATTTATTGTGTTTTTTTTAAGTATTTTTGTTCTCTCTTTTAAAAGTAATTAAAAAAAAGAATAAGTTCATGCAATTTTTTTAAAAAGTAGATTTATGCTGCTTTTTTGTAAAATTATTCAGCTTTTTCCAAAAGTAAATTTATGGAGCCATTTTTTAAAGTAAATTTTTTTTCAGCTTTGTTAAAATTAGTTTTAGTCTGCTTTAAGTACATTTCTGCTTCACTGTGTTCTGCTTTTATGCTTCTAAACAAGTCAGGATGTGATAACATTTAGCGTTAAACTCGGCCTGCTGTCTCAGGAAGTCTTAGTGTGCATCCGGTTGTCTTCATGCTGCTGTTGCTATGCAGTGATGATTTTGTACCAGGCGGTTCTGCTGAATGGACGGGACCCGTTTCTGTGTGTGAACTTTCAGAAATGGCTGCTGTTCTTGTTGAGGGAGTGCCACCCTGTCACTCCTTCTTGCATGACACACGCCATCACATCCTAGACAACGTGTGTGTGTTGCTAAAAAATAAAATCTTTATTCTGGGAAGAAACAAAGCGGTTCCGTTTTTACCAGATTCTTCGAACGGGTTAAAGTGTGACAAATGGTTTTAAATAGTTCTGCGTTTAAACCTTGTGTGAATCCACAGCCACAGAAACTTCCTGGTATTTTAATGGGATTTTATGTAAGCCCACACAAAACTAGTGCAGAATTGGAAGTGGCAGGAAAACAACACGTGCTTTTCAATATTTTTTGAGAAATTAAAATCTAAAAAGTGTGGTGTTTCCATTTGTATCATGTTTTGGGGACATTTTTCTTTAGCATAGACAAGAGATCTGGAGAAAAACTACAAACCACCTGAGACAGGATATTCTGCTTCCATTAGGACATCATCCCTAAACATAAAGCCAGCGCTCCAATGGAATTATTTGGATAAAATTAAGTTGTTATAATGTGCTAGAATGAACCTTTAAAAGTGGGGGCGCACTGATAAACATGTCAAAATTTCATTAATTTTGTGTGATTGGTAATCGTAATGGAATACGCTGAGGTTTGTGGTCATGACAGGGGAATAATCCAAGGCCCTGTAGTGATGTAACGTTAAACCAGGGCAGAAGTTTAAAGGCATGATGATTCTAAAAAATATTGATGATCCCGTTTGACCTTTGACCTCCTCTTCCTCTGCAGCCGTTGTGGATCTAAATGGACGTTATTTCGGGGGTCGAGTTGTCAAGGCCTGCTTCTACAATCTAGACAAGTTTCGTGTTTTGGATCTCGGGGAGCAGGTGTGATGTCTGCCAGCTGACCCCGTGAGGCGACGGCAACCTCCCCACCTGTACATATGTTTTTCTTTTATAAACAGCAATGTATATGTAGTAATAATGATTCTGTCATTTAGTGTTTTCTTGTGATTATTAAATACCTTTATGCCAATACAAAATAAAAGGTGTAAACCAATCTTTTGGATTTCTTTCTCAGTGTTTTCATCCTGTAAGCGCCACGGAGGCCTAGTTTCTGACATAATACTCCTTTCCTGAGTTTTTAGCGTCCCTCTGGGGTCCAGGAGTCCTAACTTAGCCTCGCTAGATTATAGGAAGGGGACTAGGACAGTGAACAGCCTCAGCCTCATTCAGAGATTATGTAAGTGAGCCAGAGAAGACGTCCCAGAGGTTGGATGATGAAACAGAAATGTGAAGGAGGACCCATTTAAAGGATTTCATCTTTTCGTTTATATGGCATGGTTCAAAGGTCAAGGAAATATGGGTAATAAGGAAATGATTGCATATTAACACAAAAGGGTACAGTGCCCTTTCTGATTTCTTCAATTTTTGCTGTGTCACAACTAAATGTTTGTGATGGTGTTTTTTAAATTGGGGTGGGGGCTGTCTAAATCATCCTTGGGTGAAGCAATCCCCCCTAACCTCGTTAAATCATGAACTGAGATTAAAGATATTTAATGTTTTTCAGTTCACGAGAAACATCCATACTTGATTACTACCAGACTTGTAGAATCCTAAGTTCTCCGACAGCACTGTGTAGGCTAAAATCATAATCAGCTCTGTTAAGTTTGTGGACATTTTATTTCTTCAAAATATGCAGATGTACAGTGTTTTTATAGACGAGGAAGATGAGGTCGAAATAGTGCAAATATGCATCCTAACGATCTTGGTACTCTGTAAAGTATTCAGCTTCATGGAAGAAACTGTTCCTGTGGGACCTGGTTGTTGCAGATGGCTCTCCATAGGACCGATCTGAAGGTAAAAGTCCACAGTTGTGTCCAGGATGTGTGGGTTCAGCAGAGATGTTGGCTGGCCTTTTTCCCACTCAGGGAAAAGGGATGGAGGGAAAGTCAATCCTGATGATCTAGTTGTTCATTACAGTTTGGACCGGTCCTGTTTTGTGGATGAGCCAAACCACAGTAATGGACAAACAGACCAGATTAAAAACATGGTTATGTATAAGTTAAGACCTTCTTCTGTGTGAGGCATCAGAAATCCCAAGAAAGGGTGGTTCCTGGGAACCTGAAGTGATTCACAGTAGACACTTTGTTATTGAGGATAGCAAGAGGAGAGAGTGAGTTCTCTCAAGGTCCACCACACTCGACCCATCTCCTGTCTGTATGCAAACTTATCTCTGTCTTGGTTGAGACCAATGACAACAGTGTCATCTTTATCTCACAGATTAGTCCACTGACAAGCAGCGGTTTTGTTTAGAGAGAAGAGAAATGGGAAGAGGAGACACCCCTGGGGGGTGCCAGTGCTGATGATTCTTGTCAGAAGATGATTCCCACCCTCATCTTGTACTCCTGGTATGTCAGGAAGCTGGTGATCCAATGGGGCCATGAACTGGTTGAGGTTCTGGTGGAGGATGTCTTGGTGCACATCCCTGGGTGGTGGAGGTGGAGGAGGATGAAGTGCAGCCCAAGCTGACTGCATCATCTGCCAACATGTTTGCACACAAAGCAAACTGCAGGGGCCATCCAATAACCTACAAATTCTCCAGTCGAGTCACTTGAAGCATTTCATGATGACAAAAGTGAGGACGACATACCAGTGATTACTTAAACCTGGGGAAATGTGTTTCTTGGGGACCAGGATGGTGATGGAATGCTTAAAGCAAGAGGGTACTTGTTAAAGATCTGAGTAAAGATAGGGGTCAGTGTGTCAACAAAGGTTCTCATGCATGAGGGGGAAACAGTCTTCCGATGGTGAAAGAAACTATTGATGTCTTCCTCTAGTACAGGCAGGGGGTCTGAGGAGAGACCCCCTGCCTGAATGGGGAGCTTTTGTCTCAGAGTGAGGTGTGGACAAGCTGTTGGAAGGTGTGAATGGCTTCCTTTCCAAACCTGCAGCAGAAGCTGTTGTGGTTGAATACCAGATGAGAATCCCGCTGATGGTGGAGGATGGGCTTCTTTATTTGCTGACATTTTGCAGATCGTTCCGAACTGATTGCAGGTCTTCTGCTGAGAAACTGTCAGCTTCTCACTGTAGCTTCTTTTTTCCCCCCTGATCTTCTTGGTGAGTTGTCCTTGCCTGTTTAGACAACAAGGTCAATAATCTTAGGGTCTTTAATCACTTTGTTTCAGATTCCAACAGAGCAACTCCAACATTTGCTTTTCTAACAAACACTTAAAAAAGTTCCAGCTTCATGTTGTTTAACTTGAAGATGTTCTTACCTTCCGATCAGCCAGTGTTGTAGTCTGCAGACCTCCAGGTCTCTTTATGTTGCAGAGTTTGCTGTCTACATACGCCTGCACAAAAGGATTCTAGAAAATGGGACCTGACCTACATACAGGCACATCTGACTTACAGTTAGCTAGAAGGATGGCAATGGAATTAGTCAGCATATCTCTGAGCAGAAGAAGTATTTACTTCTTTTTGCAATTTCTGTGGTTTCAGGAGTGTGCTTGATGGAACATCTCATCAATGGATTGTTCTTTTTGTGAGCTTTGACTTGAACTCATTCATTTTTAAAATTAATTTGAAGCAAGTGTTCCTAGAAGAACAAAACAAGACTTTGCCACTGCCATGACTTATACAGTAGTTTGTATGGGATTTAGTGAAACTGGACATTATGTGGCCATAATCCTTTTACTTATTGTATAAATTGTAAAAACAAGTTTATACAACAGGTGCAGCACTGGCTGAGAAGGTAGTAATTAATCCTGTAACTGGTGAGTTGCCAGTTTGAACCCCCGCTTCATCCATCTCAGAGGGCCCACAGATGCCGATTGAACAGCAGGCTCGCTTCTGTCGGTATGGAGATAATAGTGATCAACTGGTCTTTTATTAACATTGAAATAATAGCAACATAACATCTTTTCAGCACGGTACTGGAGGGATTATGATTTGGGCTCCTATGCAGATTTGGCAGAGTGTTTAAGCTGCAAACTACATTATAAAACAATCAAATCTGAAGACGTCTGCCAGAGCGGGGGTCAAACTGGGTCATGCTTCAAACAGAAGATCCCAAAGGCAACAATAGAACCAAAACAGAAGTCTCCCAATCACACTTCAGACACATCCTGTAACAACACTTGGCAATACCTAAATGGTACACAGATAAATAGGTGAAAGCAAAACTTAATAGAACAAATAAAAGTAGAAAGGTTGTCCAGATGGAAAACATCAAAGTAAAATCCATTACAGACCAAAACCTTAATCAAGTGTTTTCCTGTCTTAAGCTTTAATTACTTCCTCTCAACTGCAGCCCCACATGAGTTAGCAGCTAATTTTGTGAAAACTTGTTTAAAGGCAGGCAAGCAGTTTATCCCCTTGAGGTAGTCTCCATCACTGTCACTTCCTCCTGTATGCTAACGCTGAGGTTTTAAAGAGAGCAGAGACTGCTACAGCAGCAAGGATCTATTTTGGTGGGGTAAACTTTCTCCTTCTCAAGCAGCATGGTGGACTTTATAAATGCCTGCGCTCTTCATCTTGCATTGTTTTATTTATGACTCAAAAGGTGCAAGGGCCCTGCAGGAAAGCAGTCCAAATTTATAGTGGATTGCAAAAGCATCTGCATCTTTTTCATGTTTTGTAATGTTGTAGCTACAAACTATGTGTGCTTCATTTGGATTTTATGGGATGGAGCAGAAAATAACAGGAAATTCAGTTTCCAAAAATTTTAAAGGAAAAATCTTTTCATGTCCTTTGAAATTTAAACAGCACAAATAACATAAACCATACAAGTGTGCCAGATATCAGCACAGAGTGAACAGCACCTGAATAAACTGATTTGATTGGCCCCGACTGCCTGAACTGATACATCATTAAATTAAAATTATATTAATATATATATATATATATATATATATATATATATATATATATATATATATATATATATATATATATATATATATATATAT